GTCTATGTGCAAATACGAGACTTTACAAGCAGGATGGACAACAAAATGCAATCTCATTGAGCGTCAGACCAAATAGAGAACGGTGTATGCAGATTGCTACGAACTAGAACTTGGGTAGTATAGAGTGCAATAGCAGGGCTCAATCACAGCAATGATTTTTGCTGACATGCCGCCTTGCCTGACTATCGGGAAGATGAGCAATTTGAAATGCGCCGTAGGATGGATATTCGATAACAAGTATGGCCGAGCCCGGGGTCGGGGCTGAATTCATCTCTTACTTAAATATGTCCAGGAAACTAGGACAAAAGTGTCGACAAAGACTTGCAGGACGCCGCTCTCTCCTGAAGCCTCAGCGATGTGTCGACAATTTTGTTCCGAATAGAGACTGGAGAAGGAAGAGTCTCTGCTGGATTGAGGATGGATTGGTCGTCGAGGTAGAGACTAAGTTTTAGAGTGGTCGAACAGTGCTTACAGAAGTGTAAGCAAAAGAAATCACTTAGTGCAAGGGATCTACGATTAAGGCGGCGAGAAAGTTGGTAACAGCTTTGGGCGCTGTAGACGTTTGAGCCCGCTTTGTAGGTCGCCCCCTCATCCCAATAGCTTTTGTTATCATCCTTATTCCAAGTTGTAACCGCTGCGACGGAAGAAATAGCCTTCTCCTCCTATTCGGACGGTAGAGCCTCGATGCTCGCAATTTTGCTCGAGCTGAATATTTTTCGTGATAAGGAAGAGTGCATTTTTGGGCATGTGCGAAGGTGGGCATGGCAAGACACATGGGCATCGCCACTTTCGTCGCCACACATGTATCTGCTATCAGGAACCCCACTACGGAACGTATATCTGCCTAGAATGCAGCCAACCTGATCAGACTTTGAATACCAGATAAGCAGCTGGTTGCGTCGGCGCTGGGTACACTACGTGTACTGGGTATGCCTGTGGTCATGTCTGACCTAGCCGGCTTCGATGATGTCATGGTCGATAGCTCCTTGCGCTTTGCCATCTGTGACTATAGATCCGGGCAGTTCATGCCATTTGAACTACGTAGACCGCACGCCGAAAGTTTTAAATCCACTTTCAGGTCTTGACGAACTGTGTTGAACCAGGTTTTTCGATTACCCCCTTCTTCTGAACTGCCAAGCGAGCAACAGCGTCCAATTGAGGACACCAATACTGAGCTCGTGAGGTGGACAACAGTGTCCAAATCATCCTAGTCGCCTTTCATAGATGACCTGGGATATCACTGAATTGTCGCAGCGAGTGAGGACTGCCTAATTTGAAGCGAAATCGGTATTCTTCAGGCGAAGGATGGGCCTGGAGCAGTGGTGGTCAAATACCTCCATGTTTCGCTAAGTTTCAACGTATGGAGCTAGGTATTTACAAGTACCGAGAAGGACTGGCCGGCAAGATGCATGTCACACGTGCAAAAATATTTGCTGTTTACGATAAACAGTCCATCTTGGTCAGTGAAATGCATCTCGCTACAATGACGGCGACATCGAGAACGCAGTCCGAAACGGAAACTGGCTGCTGGAACAGTCTTCTGGTCCAGTCCGGCCATTTCAGTCTTCGAAGAAAATCATCAGATAATGGCAAGGAAGTCAGTAAACTAGCTTTAACAATTACAAACTACAGATTATTTTAGCATGCCGATCAGCAGCAGACGTTGGTGCGTAGGCAGAATCGACAAATAGGCAAATAGTGCGGTCTGGTAGTAACACCTAAGTTATTTGGTCGTTGAATGTTTCACATGCAAATAATGCATGATTTGACTGTTGTGGGGGGAAATAGCAACGCCGTCCCTACCCGACATTTCATAGAGAAAGTGAAATTAAAGATGTCTGCCAGAAACAGGGTTTTCGGAGAACTTCCGTCCTGATTTCGGATCGCAGACATTCGCAACGTGCAGCATGAGCGCGATTAAAGTTGAAGTATCAGGGGCGAGGGATATTAGTAAATTCCAACGTTCATTAACAATTGGGTAGTTTCACTCGTATACTCTAAATTAACACAAATATGCGAAGGTTGTGGAACTCGTCAGTTTCCACTAATGCAGTAATATAGACCACAATAGAAATTCAAAACGAGAAATTTGAGTAAAAACGAGGTCCTGCCGGTGGCTCAGTTTGTTTTTTGTTTCGGGAGGGAGCTATCTCCTGGAGGTTTTGTGCTTAGGTACTTAACCACGAAGGAGGACTTGAAAATGGCCTTGATCAATTGCTGTTTACGGTAGTCGCCGTGGTCGGTTGCCAGACATCGGTCCTCCGCGCCCGGCAACATTTTCGCTGCTAGTCCGCAACTACTTATTCGCTCTTTTCGTTGTGCTAGTCGCCATTCGTGGACGCGCCTACTAGGCACTGAGTAGGCTATTATGAAATCCAATTCGCACAGTCTGTCTGTATCGCCACGAGGGGGTAAAAGACCCTGCAGTTTTAGA